AGAGAGAGAGATGGGTAGGAGAAACTCAGACATGGTATGATAGGAACCCCACTCCCAACGCACCACTTGCAGGAGGGAGGGATCATCGACTCTCCTTCCCTGGGGCATAGCAAAAAAGAGAGTGGTTTAAAGGGCACCTAGAATATAACAGAAGAAAATGGATTTAACAACCCTAGGGCATTAGCCAACGGAGGGAAGCTGTGGAAACTCTCTTCCACTGTCAGAAATACAAGGAACACCACTGTTGTGCTCTCCTTCTACTTTACTCTCACGATGGGAGCATAGTCAGTACTCTAGCCAGTTTGCCAAGGTTGTCCGAGCGAGCACCAGGCCCTGGGCCCACACCAGCTCCTTGGCTTGCCCCTGGGATTCCCCTTGGCTTGAGCCCTCTCCAACTATAGCTCCAACTGGCCGGCCAAGGAAGCCCCAGTGTGGCTTGCCCCCAGAACTTCCTGTGGCCAATGCCTGCACAACTGTAGCTCCACTCAGCCTGGACAAGGTGGCCCCAGTGCAGCTTTACCCCAGGACTACCCATGACTTCAATCTTAGCTGGCTCCAGCTCCAGCCACTGCTAGCCACTACGGCAGCCACGGTAATGCTCAGCAGCCCGCTCTAGCTCCAGCTGGCTTACCAAAGGCACCAAGCATGTAGAGTTTACAAAAAGGAAGTTCCTATTCAAGGCCACTGCTTCAATACCAGGAGGGGTTGCAGTTTTGCCTAACCTACAAAAACACACACAGAGAGACAGCCAGAATGAGGAGACAAAAAAATATGTTCCAAACGAAAGAACAGGATAAAACCCCCCCAAAAGAACTAAATGAACTGGAGACAAACAACCAATAAGATAAAGAGTTCAAAACACTAGTTATAAGGGTGTCAATGAACTTGGGAGAAGAATAGACAAGCTCAGTGAGAACTTCAACAAAAAGATAGGAAATATAAAAAGAACAATCAGAACACAACACAAACTGCAATAAAAAATACACTATAAGGACTTAACATCTGATTAGCTGATGTAGAAGAACAAGTCAGGGAGATGAAAGACAAGGTCATGGAAATCACCCAATTAGAACAGTAAAAAAGAAAAGAAGGTAAGTTAAGGGACAACATCAAGTATACCAACATCCAAATCATAGGTTCTCAGAAGGAGAAGAGAAAGATAGGGACAAAAAAACCTATTTAAAGACATAAAGTCTGAAAACGTCACCAACCTGGTTAAGTAAACAGACATCCAAGTCCAGGGAGCACAGAGAGGCCCAAACAAGATGAACCCACAGAAGCCCATACCAAGACACATCATAATAAAAATGCTGAAAGTTCCAGATAAAGAGAAACCTAAAAGCAGCGGGAGAAAAGAAGCTAGTTATATACAAGAGATTCCCCAAGAGACTATAAGCTGATTTTTTTAACAGAAGCTTTGCAGGGCAGAAAGGAATGGCACAATGTATTCAATGTGACAGAAGAGAAAAAACCTATAGGCAAGAATATACCCAGCAAAGTTATCATTCAGAATTGAAGAGATTAAAGAGTTTCCCAGATAAGCAAAAGCTAAAGGAGTTCATCACCACTAGACCAGCATTGAAAGAAATGTTAAAGGAACTTTAAGAGGAAAAGGCCAAAACTAAAAATAAGAAAACATAGGAAAACAAAAAGTTTACTAACAAAGGCAAACATTTTATTATGTCAAAGCATAAATGTGGGGCCCTGGCTGGTGTAGTTCACTGTTCAGAGTGCCAGCCCATGCACTAAAGGGTTGCGGTTTTAATTCCTGGTCAAGGGCATGTACCTGGGTTGTGGGTTTGATCACCAGCCCCTGTTGGAGTGCGTGCGGGAGGCAACCAATCGCTGTCTCACATCACTGTTTCTCTCTCTCCCTCCCTCTCTTCCTCTTTTCCACTCTCTCTACAAAATCAATGGGAAAAATATCCTGGAGTGAGGATTAACAAAAACAAAATGAAACATAATTGTGGGGGTGTGAGTAAAAAATGTAATGCTTTTGGAATGTGTTCAAACCTAAGCAAACATCAACTTAAAATAGACTACCATAAACATAGCTTATATATGTATATGAATCTTAGGGTAACCACAAACCAAAACCCTATAATAGATACACACACACACCAAAAAAAGAGAGAAGAAACCCAAATAAATCACTAAAGAAAGTCATCAGTGTACAAGAG